TAGGAGTCTCCCTAACATCAAGTAATAATGCTATTCCTTTACCCTGCTTGGTTATAACACGGTAGTGGGAGCTGCCAGCTTCACATGTTTTAACTCTGTCAGAGCACTTTGAAAAAGTGGTTTGTGGTATCTGGAAAGCTGAAGTTGCGTGTGAAGATTACAGACCTGTCGGGGGTCTGGCTCTCGAGATTCGGAGAACGATGCCTCTTCGATTTTTGAGAAAGCAATCTTGCTGGGGGTCTGGCTCTCGAGATTCGGAGAGCGGTGTCTCTTCGATTTTTGAGAAAGTAATCATGTTGGGAGTCTGGCTCTCGAGATTCAGAGGGCCGTGCCTCTTCGATTTTGGAGCAAGCAATCTTGTTGGGAGTGTTTTCTCGAATGTGAGTAAAGGTTGGGCATGTTTACTAGTCTACCTTGCCACGAAGCACAGAGGTTGACACACAGGGACTTTCCAATTATCCAGCAGTGGTACTGTTCCTTTACCTTCTCTTCGATTTTGAGAAAGTAATCATGTTGGGAGTCTGGCTCTCGAGATTCGGAGGGCGGTGCCTCTTCGATTTTGGAGCAAGCAATCTTGTTGGGAGTGTTTTCTCGAATGTGAGTAAAGGTTGGGCATGTTTGCTAGTCTACCTTGCCACGAAGTACAAAGGTTGACACACAGGGACTTTCCAATTATCCAGCAGTGGTACTGTTCCTTTACCCTCTCTTCGATTTTTGAGAAAGTAATCATGTTGGGAGTCTGGCTCTCGAGATTCGGAGGGCGGTGCCTCTTCGATTTTGGAGCAAGCAATCTTGTTAGGAGTGTTTTCTCGAATGTGAGTAAAGGTTGGGCATGTTTGCTAGTCTACCTTGCCACGAAGCACAGAGGTTGACACACCGGGACTTTCCAATTATCCAGCAGTGGTACTGTTCCTTTACCCTTGTGGGTAATAATATGGTAGCTAGACCTTCAAAATTTATGTGTCTAAACTTTGTTAGTGTTGTTTCTTTGCAATTCTTTTACCCTTCTTGGTCAGAGCGATGTAGTGGGAGCTGCAAGCTTCACGTGTCTCAACTTTGTCAGAGAACTTTGGCAAAGTTATCTGTGGTACCCATGAGCTACTGTTGCGTGTGGGAAGTGGGTGATTGAACAGTACGATTCATGTGCTTTTCTACTTCGCCAGAAATCTTCGACAGAATGCCCATAATTTCCGCAAAGCTGAGTGTGCGTGTGACAGGTGCTGACAAGGCTGGAAAAGTAGGTGCCTCTTCGATTTCTGAAATCGGCCCTCGTGGTCTCTGAGCAGCCCAGCTTTTGAGAAAGCAAGCCTCTTCGATTTCTGAGATCGGCCTTTTGTGGTCTTTGAGCAGCCCAGCTTTTGAGAAAGCAAACACCTCTTCGATTTCTGAGATCGACCCTCGTGGTCTCTGAGCAGCCCAGCTTTTGAGAAAGCAAACGCCTCTTCGATTTCTGAGCAGGCGCCTCTTCGATTTCTGAAGCTTCGTCGAGTGCAGATTTTTATAGGGGCTGACATTAAGTTCCAAAGCACACTTGAATATCCACCAGTAGAAGCTCCATTCTTGCACTTCTAAGATCTTGTTTTGTCCGACCTCTTCTCTCTTCAACACCTTTGAAAATGTCTGGCCCCTCCGACCGTCGTTTTGACTTGAACCTTATTGAAGAGGCAGCCCCGCCTTCTCCAGATAACATATGGCGCCCATCCTTCGTCTCCCCTACTGGTCCTCTTACCGTTGGGGATTCCATGATGAAGAATGATATGACCGCTGCGGTAGTGGCCAGGAACCTTCTCACTCCCAAAGATAACAGACTACTTTCCAAACGGTCTGATGAGTTGTCTGTTAAGGATTCTCTGGCTCTCAGTGTTCAGTGTGCAGGTTCTGTGTCTAATATGGCCCAACGCCTATTTGCTCGAACCCGCCAAGTTGAATCATTGGCGGCTGAAGTGATGAGTCTCAAACAGGAGATTAGAGGGCTCAAGCATGAGAATAAACAGTTGCACCGGCTCGCACATGACTATGCTACAAACATGAAGAGGAAGCTTGACCAGATGAAGGAATCTGATGGTCAGGTTTTACTTGATCATCTGAGATTTGTGGGTTTGTTCCAAAGGCATTTATTGCCTTCGTCTTCTGGGGCTGTACCGCGTAATGAGGCTCCAAATGATCAATCTCTGATGCCTCCTCCTTCTAGGGTTTTGTCCAGTACTGAGGCTCCGAATGATCCCCCTCCGGTGCCTTCTCTTTCTGGGGCTCTACCGACTGCTGAGACTTCTCCTAAGCAACCTTTGTGAAGGCTCCCTCTTGTTTGTTTATTTTGACTCAAGTATATGTACATATTTGTAACTTATCGGGGATATCAATAAATAAGCTTTCCTTCATTTCAACGTATTGTGTTAAATACACCAAAGCCTTCTTCGCTAAGTTCTTTGAATTTTCTTTTGTTGAAGCTTGTATGTTGAAGCTTTGTGAGTGGAGCATATAGGTTGAGGTAGTGTTCCCTTAATTTCCCGAGTGAGGAAAACTTCTCGATTGGAGACTTGGAAAATCCAAGTCACTGAGTGGGATCGGCTATATGAATCTTAGAACGCCATTGTGTTCTGTCCTGTGTCATGTCCTCCGTTAGATCCAAGTACTCTAAGTCTTTTCTTAGGGTCTCTTCCAAAGTTTTCCTAGGTCTTCCTCTGCCCCTTCGGCCCTGAACCTCTGTCCCATAGTCGCATCTTCTAATCGGAGCGTCAGTAGGCCTTCTTTGCACATGTCCAAACCACCGTAACCGATTTTCTCTCATCTTTCCTTCAATTTCGGCTACTCCTACTTTACCCCGGATATCCTCATTCCTAATCTTATCCTTTCTCGGAACTCTATAGAAGCCACCAACCTTAAATCAAACCCGATGAAAGAAAATAAAGTAAAACCGTCGGACTAGGGCCTTCATCCTATGGAAAAACCTTGAAACTCATAGCATAAAACTAAACTTTTCAGTGTGAAAAAAAAATGTCAAGATTCCGTGTACTTCTTAAGGTAAATCATATGCATTCAGTTAGGAAAACATCTTTATGTGACTCACTTTTATTTGGGTTGTGAGATCAAATCTGTTTAGTTTTTATAGAAAAGCATATTTGAGTAACTTGAGGAAAAAAGAAGTTGACTAAGTATCTTTTATTGTTGTCCTATTTCTTTAGGCTTCAATTTCCCTTTAAATAAATAAGTTTGAATTGTGGGAAATTAACTTTTGCATATTCTAAAGAATACATGCGCTACCCACAACAGCTACACCACCTGCAATTTTCTCCTTCCAACCACTACCAATCCTATGCTCTGGCAATGGTGCAATCAGCAAAGCACAACTTAGATAAGTTGCGAAACTTGTGTAAGTGATAATAATACAACATATGTGAATATCAATAACATCAAATGATTAAATGTAAAAGTAGTGTTACATGGACTTTTCTTTTGAATACTGGGTCAATCCAATCACCGTCAATATCATTCCAATATTCTCTTCGAATTGTGGCTCACCGTTCACCTTTCATCAATTCCGAGTAATCACAAAGGTCCAATTGCCACATATTTCATAATTTAACCACCATACGCCTCATTATATGTATAGGAATAGTTATATTCCACATGTTATAATACAAGTGAAGGAAATAATGTATTTTTCTGTGCCCTTTCAATTATTTTACGACATGTGAAGTGATGGCCCAAATACCGGGCACTTTGAAAAATTTCTCAGTTATTCTGAGAAAGTTTTTAAATATTATTTTCTACTATCAAAACTCTCATGTGTGTCACAAATTAACTTCTATTATACTATCACAATGTAATATAGTTCGAATCGGCTATAAAAAAAAATTAATAAGATTAAGGCCGCATCAAAATTGACAATCATAAACATATCACTTATACTTTTGATCTATACTAAAAGGTTTCTTCTTGGTTAAAGCTTCAGTAGTGAATTTGTTTTAAATGCGATTTGTTAGTCTAAATTAATGAATACCAATGTTTTGATTTCAATCTAATTTCAAAACTTATAAGATCGTTTCAGGATTAAATTCGTCAAAACTTCATTGTCAAAAAACAATTAAAACGTCATTTTGGACGACAACATCACAAACCGTTAGTTAATTGAACATTTTTGCGCCCGATAACAGGGGATAGATGAACAGTTTTGTCTAGAGTTTAATTATGTCAAGGGGAATTACTAATTATGTAAAATTGTAACTTGCATTCTAAGACCATCTCTAACCAAGTTAAAATCTAAAATTTTAACTCAAAAAATTTAGGTTTTAACCCAGTAATAATTTTTCTGCTCCAATCTTCCTAGGTTAAACTTTTAGTTATTAAAGAAGAATTTAAAATAATATTTTTTTTTAAATACGTAGACTATCATAATTTAATTTCATGAACATTTTAACTTAAAAATATTTAGATTCCGATAAATATTGAAAAATCACTAAACCGATACTATGAAACACATGAAAGATTTTTTTATAAATTATTTTAGCTATTGGATTTAAATTTAGATCGTTTGATTTTTTTTTAACTGTTGGTTTTGATCCTTTTTTTTTAATACATCAATGAATTCATAAATATAATACTAAAAAAAATACACAAATATGGTGGACGGCCGGCCCACTGATCCAAAGAGCATTCTGGCCTAAATTTGTCCCAATAATAAGTTTTGGGTTAACACTCATATTTGGTTCAGTGATTGAAACAAGTTGAGGGATAAATTTAGATTTAAAATTTGAGTTTTATTCGAAAAATTAGAATAGGTCTAAGAAAAAAATCCAACACAATAAATTACAATAAGTGTAGAGAAATAATTAAACAAACAAGGAACTCCCCAATTAAAGCAACATCAACGTGCAAATTTAATCAAAAGATCAACAGAATCATTACATCGCAATTAATCGCGGCAGCAACACACGTTTTTTCTGCGTCTTGAACGAAGTCGGTTTCACGGCATCGTGAGAATAAAACCAACGGTCACATTTTTATTAAAACCGATCCACCCTTGTTACCCACCGACAGCCCTCAACACTCTCACCGCCACAAACTCAACACTCCATTTCCCAACGGCCTCCCTCCAAATATCCCCCACCAAAATTACACTCTAATTCGTATCAACATTCAAATTCACTACATATATTTTTCCGGGCCTTTAGAAAAAACCCAATTTATATTTTCACAAATTCAAATTTTTTTTTTTTTTGGGGATTTGATGATTTTGCGAGACATGCAAGCCAAGTCGCTGCAATGGGCGGCGTCTCCTGGGCTCCGGGTCGGGCTCGAAACGCCGCCGTCGTCCTCGTCCTGGTCGCAGCTGGCGGTCGTGAACTTGCACGGTGGCGCTTCTGTAAATAGCTTGAAAGCCAGAGGTTTGTTTGTAGTAAAGGCCATGGAGGTGGAGGGTTCCAAAACGGCGAGTCTGAATGGGCACGCCGGGAGCTCAGGTACTGGGTTATTTCCTGAGTTGCGCATAAACCCATTTGCAATTTACCATGTAGATTTGAAATTTTTAAGCTTTTATTTGAATTTGTTTTTTATTTTTTGTTGAATAGATAAAAATGGGAACTTGTTGTCTTTGGTTGGAAATTCAACCAATATTAAGTGGCATGAGTGCTCGTTGAACAAAACTGACAGGCAGAAGTTGCTTAAACAAAAGGGCTGTGTCATTTGGATCACCGGTCTCAGCGGTTCAGGTTGGTATTTTCTTAATTCAAAGTTGTATATACATATATACATGCCTACATACATATAAATGTATATATAATGCGGGCGTATTCATGGCACCAATTTTTTCCACAATTTTTTAAATACGATTTTTGTGGAGTCCACTCCGTAATGTATTTTAATGATCTGAACCTTCGTTCTTTTAGAACATTATTTGTATATCATCCTTGCAAAAAATTAGACAAATCCAAAACCCTTAAGACACGCATTTGTAGTGAAGAAAATGGACGAATACGGTTTTACAAAGAGATACTAAACCCTTAATGCAATGGTCATATGATTTCAGATGTGGGTGATTTTTGGTGGATATGATCTACGAAGGATGATCTAAAAGATAGATGGATTGGTAGTCTAACAACACCTATACCCATCAGGCAATGTGGGGATAGAAAGTTGCTCATTACTTGCGTATTATTAATTTTGTTTGTCAGGGAAGAGCACGGTGGCATGTGCTTTGGGTGGGAGTTTGTACCGCAGGGGGAAGTTGTCTTACGTTCTTGATGGGGACAATGTCAGGCATGGCTTGAATCGCGACCTTAGTTTTAAAGCAGAAGATCGTGCAGAGAACATTCGGAGGATTGGTAAGTCTATGCCTCCTTTTAGCTTAACTAGGCCCTTTTTTAGATCAACTATGGCTGTCGACTTCATTATATAATCATGAAGCATTGGCTTTGGTTTTGTATTCAGGTGAGGTGGCGAAATTGTTTTCTGATGCTGGAGTTATTTGTATTGCTAGCTTGATTTCTCCTTATAGAAAGGATCGTGATGCCTGCCGTGCAATGCTACCTGCTGGAGATTTTATTGAGGTTGGTAGTTTCACTGGTTCTTAAACAGATGACTGTTTTTCACGTTTCAACTCTGAGCTTTGTGCATATGTTTGAAATAATTCTTGAAGAAGTTCTGAGTAAAGCAAACTTGTTTTGTGAAAGGTGTTCATGGATGTTCCACTCCAAGTTTGTGAAGCTAGAGACCCGAAGGGCCTATATAAGCTTGCCCGTGCAGGGAAGATCAAAGGTATAAGCAAACTACTATCTCGGATTTTGGTTACTGAATTGAGTCTTCTTTATTTTAACAGCCTGCTTAAGGTACTACTGCTACTATAATCTTTACGTTGATAATTCTTTTTCCCGTGTGATACAAGAAACATTGTGAATCTTATTATCGTTTCTGAAACTTCTGTTTAAACAATCACTTGAAAAATTCTTATCTGGGATGCAAACCTGTGAATCCGTGAATCTTCTTCCCTTGTTAATTGACATGTATACTTTTGATGTTAGTAAATTTCGACATCTCATATGTGGCCCTTTAAGTGTGACTCTATTGCTAATTAAACCCTGGACAATTTGTATGTTGAGTTTTATTTAAATGTGTAGGTATGCCAATCCCACTATCCATATTCAGAAGCACCGCATATTTTCATTTCACATTGCACAAGGATTTCTGGTTGAATGGCCATATTATCTATCACTTCGATAGTTTCCTAGTCCAAAATGCTGATCATTACTTATACTGTGTCAATCTGGCATTGCAGGTTTTACCGGGATTGATGATCCATATGAGCCACCACTAAATTGTGAGGTATGTACACTATCTAGAGAAAGGCAGAATACACCTTTGAAGTTCAAATTGAACAGGTGCGGGTACATAGACTGCACATATCATATATACATAAATGTTTCTCATGCTAAAGAGCAATACACATAACGTCATGTTAGCTGGGGAATATCAACTTAAAGATAAAAATAGTTAAACGCAATCCAGAAGTAAAGATTTTCTACATCAAGAACTTGAATTTGAGATAAATTAGTCGCTTTAAATTGCATGTGACCATTTCAATTCTTATTTTATAATTAGCCTGTAGGGATATGATGCAGACTAAAATGAATGATGATCTGGTGCAAACTTGGGGGTGACATGTATGATGTAACTACGGCTGCACATAAACTTAATTCACCTGTTGTTACGTTTTCCTTTTTGGCCTATACTGTGCTTGATGTTATTGTTTTATTCCAAATACGAAAGCAGAATTTTTCATTTGTTGTTTTTTCATCCTTTTATCTGGCTTCAGATAGTATTAACACATAAAGGAGGAGCGTGTCCTTCCCCATGTGAGATGGCTGAAGAAGTAGTTTCTTACTTGGAAGATCAGGGGTTCCTCCAAGCATAAGAAGTTGGTGGAACCTTTCCTTGAACTGTCATAACTTTGAGCTCTACTGCAAATACGGTGAAGATAGTTTCTAGCGCTCCATGTGGATGCTATGCATCTTGCATTACCAGATAAGATGCAGAAATCACCTGCTCTGATATGAAGCTGCCCTTTTGCCTCGTCTAACAGGAAAACTGATGCAATATTCCTGTAAACGCATTAGTTAATTGCTTGATTAATTTGTGCCAAATCTTTTTTATGTTTGATGTTAGTATGAATTGTGGTCTCCTCGTTGTAAATGATAGAGTGGAGAGTTTCTTGGTCATATTATGCCCCAGTTTGGGGTTGAGGTGATTTTAAAAAAAGCTCTTATGAAAAAAAGCTAGGAGTGTTTTTGGTGTTTGGTAAACTTAAAAAAAAGGGCTTATTTTGGAAGCTGCTGTGAGAATAAGCTGAAATCAAAGGAAAAAGCTGAAGCTGCAATTTGTAGCTTTGGAAAACTGGTTTTTTTTCAAAGCACATAAAACTACCGTGCTCCTTTAATGAAAAGATCCACAATCAGACTGCTTTTTTTTCCAAAAGCACTTTTACAAAAAAGTTTACCAAACACTCTGCTGATTTATTTCACAGCCGCTTATTCTCACAGCACAGCTGCTTATTCTCACAGCAGCTTTTTTTCAAAGCACAGCAATACCAAACCAGCCTATTTTGTTTCGAGTTTGATGTGTTTGTATCATCTCGTGGCGTTTTTTTGTGCATGCGTTGGAATATTATTGTAGTTACAAACTGCTGCTAAACTCTTTTGTACTAGATCTAATATGTAACCATAAGAGCAAGGTGACTTAAATCTTGGAGAGACCCTGGCGGAATCAACAGTATGGGGATCATCGTGGGTCAGTATTCTCCACGATTAAGACTTGAAAAACACGCTCTACGGCCAAGGGGCACTGTAAACGCTCTTTGTCGTCTTATACGTGGGGGAAAAGAAGGCCAGAAGAGCTCTCTATAGACAATGTAAGATGAAGAAGAATTTACTTAGAATTGGATACCTTATTGGTTTGTGTTCTTTACAAAGTATCCATGAAACTCTCTAGTTTAAAGACCGAAAAGAAAACAGCGAGAAACAAAACAGAGGTTTTTGTTACTGGCCTTTGCCTTTGGCATGCTATTATTAGTGATTTAGATAATTTAGTAAAAAGAAACAAAAGCAGAGGTATCTTAGAATACCTTCTCTTTCTTGTTTGTAACACTTCTCGTAATTTATCATCAATGCGGTGCCAATCGGATCCAAAACTAGTTGGACTTCAAATGTAACACAAAGCTAACAAGTTACTGAACGACCGCAGGTAAAGCCTCTTAAGTTATTATAATTAAGCCTTTAAATACACGATCTGGAACTTGCTCTGAATTGTGAATCCCAAAAGAGGGAAAAATACTCATAAAGAAATAGAGGAAAAATGAAAAACCCTCTAAGAACCAACCCACCTCATCACCTAACCTCCCCCAACCATAAGGCCATAGGCCACACTAAGATTAGACCTGACAATTTCTTACACGACCTGTGAATACGATACATAAATGACACGAAAATAACAAGTTTCGGGTCGACACAATAACTCATTAGGTCGTTATCGGGTCACACGATAAGAACCAGTTAATAATAGGTCCTTAATAAGTTTACACGAGAATGACACGTGGGTAATCCGTTTCAATATGTTAAGAAAAATGTTATTTTGATGATTTTAATTTTTGAAACTAACAAAAACAATTTACTATAAAATACAATAGCCATAGTGTATACGTATATATTGTATATCAAATATGTATTATGTATTATTATTCTATATAAATTTTAAAAATTTAAGTTTTATTTATTGATTGGTAAATTACCCTTTACAACCTCAGGTTTGAGGCCTATTGCAACCTCATATAACATCTTCAAAACATTTCACTTTCATACCTTAAGTACTATTTTATTTCAGTATAATACATCCGTTACATTTTCCATCCATTGATGAAAATTTTAGAGATTGGATAACCTTTGATGTGAGCCGTGACATACAACGACTTTAAATGTTGAAGATTGTCCGAGGATGAGCAGGGAAACAATATGGCTAGAGTTTCTTTAAGTGTGTCGTTGTTATTTGCTTGCCCATTGTCGTTGGTGGTGACGAAATTGACTTGTGTTGCTTCCTCGGTGACCACATCACCATCTAAGAAATTTGGTTGGTGTGCAGTTGGCTGGAATTCAGCAGGTAGAATATGAACCATGCTGATTTCCATGTTCTCGATAACTGAAGGGCTCATCGGATCTTGGTCGTCGTCTTCCGGGTTATCAAGAATTGCAACATCGTGCGTTAAAGCATCCTCGGCCTGATCATCGTGTGCCTCGATGGGTACTTGCTTTTGTGACATGTAACCCGACCTTGCTTTCTTCTGACTGTCATCTTTGAGCCCGTTCGGTTCTGTCGTCTGACTTTGCCCCTGCAATGCTTTACGGGCTTGTTCTTCATAAGCGATTCAAGCGTCCCTTGTGTCTAGGTAGCCGTCCAGACGTGTCACCCGATCTTTTTCATCGGCCGTAAGACCGAAGAGAGATATGGTCGAGAAGACTTCGAAGTGGTGTCGTAAGTACAATGTCTGTGTATGGATCAACCTTGAAGCCAAGGACCCTAGCTTCTCTTATGTGCCAGAACTTGGTGTTCATTACTGGATCGGTGGTTTTTTGGATAATCTGTTCAACCTCAGGACAAGTTAGTGCCAAGTTGAGAGCTTCTTGACACGCCTTAGGTAGGCCGTACAAATCGTTGGCAGAATATTTCTTATGAAACTCTCTCATGTACTCCAAAGATTCGCCGAGGAATGGAGGGTGTAGATTTCATCGAACTCTTATTAACGGTTCTTGCGGAGGTAACGGCATAAGTTTTCTTTCAATGTCTTTTCTAAACTGCTTGAAATAAACTTTCATCTCCCCAGGCCAAATAAGGAGTTTGATGCGCTTCTTGGACTCCTCAATGGTGGTTTCGAAGTCACGATCGATTCCCTTTCGCCTTTGTACTTCAACCATGATTGTTGGTGTTTGTTGGTTATCTACGCTTCTAATCGCTTCTTTTGGCTGCCATTTAGCGACCGAAATGGTCTGGGCTGCCTGTCGTCGAGCCATGCAATCTATTTGCTGGCGTCGATATTTTTGAGATTTGGATAGTTCAGTATACATGCTAGTGGGAGAGTAGGCGGCTTGAAGGTTTTTTTATTCGCCGATAAACTTGAACTGTTGGAATTATGAGAGTAATAATCCTTATTATAAAACGGTGCGTCGAAATCAAGATGCCATCTGGCCGAGGTAAGGGTGTTTGTCCTTTCTTGAGGGCTGAGCCTATCGAACACTTTCTGGTGCTGGCCTCCGCCAAGTTCCTTTAGAGGTGTGGCCGCATCCTTGGATGCTTGTCGTGGTGTTGGAGTTGGAGGCGGTCGCTCTTTCGGTTCGGTTAATATGACGTGTGCCTTACAATTGCTACACAAAACCATTGGCCTATCAGTTTCTTCTGCACTAGAGTCTGACATAGATTCGACTGGGGCCGGTCCTTAAAACTTGGTGGGTAGTTCGTTGGAAAATAGATCAATTTTGAGTCGTGGCCTAGAGTTTTGCTTTGGGACGTGTTGTATTGGGACAAATTCGACCTTCCCTTACCCTTTGCTTTTGGGCAAATGGGCGTTTACCATGCCAACTGTTGCCGAAGGGAATGGATCAACGTCGACCGCCATTTGTTTTTCATGAAACTTTAGCTTGCCTTTATCAATCCAGCTTTAAATGTCATCACGGAACACAACGCAGTTGTTTGTGGTATGCTTAGTCGAGTTATGGTACTTGCAATATGTCTTTCCTTTAAGCTCTTCGGCCTTGGGAATGTTATGTCTTGGCCGAAGTTTGATAATCTTTGCTAACAACAATTGGTTGAAAATTGCATCGGCCTTGGTGATATCAAAAGTGTAAACTTTTGATGTTTTCATCATTTCTTCAATGGCCGAGCAGGTTTTGGCATCTTTGGAATTAATTTGAGTCAATGCCTTGCAGACATATGGTTTATCTATTACTATCTCAGCCACGTCCACACTGACGTATAGGGAATCCTCGCCTTCGGCCGATGCGTAGCTAATCATGGGATTTTTGTAAATCGTTCCTCGGGATGGGGACTTCGAGATTTTTTCCTCTCAGAGCAAATGATCATATTGCTCGACATGTTAGCCTAATTCGTACATATCTTGGAAGTTTGCCCCCATGAATTTCTTTTTGTACTCCACGTCTAGCCCATTGAGAGCAAGCCTAATGAATTTGATTTCGGGTAGAGGTACTCGGCACCAATTCCTGGCTGATTTAAACCTTGTGAGATAGTCCATTGGTGACTCATCAGATGCTTAAGTCATCCTGGCTAATGAAGAAACTGACATTTCCATCCCCGGCCGATAGAATTGCTCGTGAAATTTCTCGACCAGCTCATCCCAACTTTGGATGGAATTAGGTGGGAGGTTGATATACCATGCGAATGATGAGCCTATCAACGAGAAGTTGAACAATCACATATTATAGAAATCATTATTGACGTCTCCGCATTGCGCAGTGAACCTGGCCACATGTTCTAACGAGGACAAAAACGATTCTCCAGCAAAAAGGCTGAAATCTAGGATCTTGAAGCCTTTAGGATATTTGAATTTTTCCACATAAGCTGGATATGGATGAATGAATTTCAGGAACTTAGGCCCCTTTTCCATGGCCGAATCAATCATCCTTTGGACCTAGATCATATTGACGGATTCTACTTCCATTCTCTGGTTGGATCCATTTGACCTACTACTTGATCCTTCCTTTTTTTTCCAAGTCAATTGTTTTGAGCCGAGTAGATCCTACTTTGGCCTGTAGTTGATTACCTTTAAGCGAAAATTGTCTGGATTGATCAGTAGGTCCCCTGGCGAAGACTTTGCTAACTAATAATTCGAGCAATTGGGTGTGTGTCTCACCATTACTTCGAGCAAACTATTCATTTTTTGGATAACTGTCTGTTCAACCTGCCGAAATTGCTCGTCAAGTCGTCTTTGAATAAACAACCTAGTTGGAGGGTTAGAGCCTTCACCACCATCTTCGTCGCAATTCTCCACTATTCTTTCAATGAAAACACCTGTGGTTCGGTTGGGTACTTCTATGTTTCGGGGCTAGGTACCGAGATAAACTTCTTTTTCTTGGTGTGTCACACTTGCAGCCTCAGGGGTCACAGTAACGAGGGGATTTCGTGCATGTGACACTTCTTGTCCAGGACTCTGAACTGGCAGATTGGTCGTTGACTTTCCCATGATTGTTTTCTTTTTAACCAATCGTGTCTCGATGG